TCTTTCTGTTAGTCTGTTTAGTTGCTTTTCTGCTAGTCTGTCTGTTCTATTTTATTTCATGGTTCATGTTTTGGATCCTGGCGGCCAGTGGAAAGAGGGTTTTGTGTTTGTCTCGTCTCCTGATCGTCCACTGTTCCTCCCCCACAGAGTTCTCAGGGTTTTTGGCTCTATATGGGGGGAGGATCAGTTTTTATCCCAGAAGGCCTGGCTCCAAGGAGACCAGTTTAAAGGTCCTGCATCAAGCTCTGGTTCCACGTCCTGTCTCGGCTACCCTCTTCCACTGAGCCTGCCTGTCTGCACCTGATCCTGTCTGCTCCTGTGCGTGTCTGCCTGGCCAAGCTTCTGAACTCTGTCAGACTCTGAACCTGTCTGGGAGCCTGGTATTGCCTGGACGCCTTGATCCTGTCACCTGTCTGCCCTGTATCCCTCATTTGGATCGGCTTCCCGCAACTCCTCCGGAGCTGCAGCATCGGGGACACTCTTGGTGATGCGAGCCACGCCAGCTGTCAGCCTATCGGCTCGATTGCACCCCCCCCCAAGGGGTATGGACTGAACTGCTAAACCAGGTAAGTGACTCACTGAGATCATCATCTTCAGTCAGATGATCATGGTCACTTACCTGTGTTTCTCCCAAAGAGTATAAGAGATGGGGCAGTGCCCCAACCCCCTCCTGCAGTATCGCTGAGCCACAGCTCCACTTTATTTTTTGTTTTGTTATTTAATAAACGTTTTGAACTTTCCTACTGACTTTCTCTCCTGAATACTGGGTCATCTGTCCTCGGTTCATGACACAAACACAATCTGTTAATTAGTTCAAACTGTTTCATTAACCTTTATATGTTGTGATTTCAGAACATCGTATTTCTATTCCTATCCCATCAATATTCCTAATTTAAACAACTGTGCATTAATCGTTAACACATTTACCTGCCTGCTTTGTTTTGAAAAGAGGACAGGGGAAAAAATGAGCCACAGAAACTAGAAACTGTCCTGTTTTACAGTTCAACTTTAACTATTTGCTCACCTCTATTTTCCCAACACAAAAATAGCTAAATTGTTATTTCACAAATGGACAAGGGACAAAACACAATCCACAAAATACACATAACAGAATAAAACTGGCAGAAAACAGACAAACTCTCATACTATAATACATGCCCAAATTATTGCTTGCAAACCTTCCAGGGTGAGTTTAGGCAGATTCCTGGAACCCTTAGCCTGCCCATCTTTACTGAACCTCCTGTAACTGGGTCAACTGTAAAATGATCACTTCTCAGTCTATTTATCCGCAGGTAATTTAACTCTAGTCAATAAACAGAAAACCAGTTACTATTCTGCTGTAACCCAACCTTTTTTGTTTTTATCATCCTACATTTACATCCATAAACTAGGTTTAGATTCCACTCTCTTTAAAAATACTTGCTTTAAGTGTACCATAAAGAATTACTGTATTTCACTCTCTCAGGAAAATATGCCCCTTTAAGTCAAATCCTCAGGAATTAATTATTTATTTGATAATCTGCCATTTTAGTTAAACTCATAGCTTTTATGTATTTTAGCTTTATATTCAAGACTTCATCCAATAGATTTATTCATATGTAGTGTACCCTAGAATCTAGATCTCCTGTAATCTAGATTAAAATGGCTCAATTGATTTTTTTCTTGCAGTGCCACCTTTTACAGTAGAGAAAAAATAAGATTTTAAATATAAATAAGATATAAGAATAAAATGAGATTAAGAAAAAAACAAATTAAGGGTAACAATAAAATAAGATAAAGATGATATATATTTGCTACTTAAAAAATAAGTAAAGTAAGTCTTTGAACAGGTCTCTCAAGCCAGGTGCTTGTTAGACCAGGGGCTCATCTCCTGTTTTCAAAATTCATCACAAACTACTTCAGAAGCTTTTCTACTATGATAACTGGTGATGAAAAATAATATTCAAGATGATGTATTTATGTTTAATAACTGTTTATTCAGATAAGCATGAATTCTGAACTGTAGGCCTACATAATAGGTCAGGATGACCCGTTTACAGTCTGAATACTGTGTCAGTCAGTCCAAGCTCTATTTCTCTTTTTTCCACCAGCCACTCACACAGACTAAGTTTGGGGCCGAACTTTGGGGCAACAGCGTTTGAGGATAATAATAAAATCTGTGTTTGGAATGTCTCTTGTGATATAAAGATCCTGAGGTTTTTAAAGATAAATCATATGAAACTTTAGCTCTAGAAATGAAAAGGGTTAAATAAATACCACAGAAGCTACATTTTCAAAAACTGTCCCACTTTACCTACATTCATCAAAGCAATCATCAAGGAGAAAACATAATGTTGTTGTAATCATTCATGGTGTCGTGTTGAAATCAAATTTAAAATGACATAACATTGCCTGCCTAAATGTCAGCTGTGCTGCTGCCATCAACACCCTTGTTTATAGATGTTGGAGATGGGCCTGTTTTCCAGTGTGGTCCTGTTTCTCTGACCGTGACTGAGTGGATGTGCTCTCTTCGTCCTCTGACATGGGAGCTGGCTCAGAGCTCATCTGTCTGGCTGTGTGTTTCCTGGACGGGGCCGCCTTTTACAGCTGCTTTTTGTGTCTCTGCTTCTGTCTCCTTGAACCCCAGTCGGCCTCAGCAGATGGCCGCTCACACTGAGCCTGGTTCTGCTGGAGGTTTCTTCCTGTTCAAAGGGAGTTTTTCCTCTCCACTGTCGCTATAAGCATGCTTAGTATGAGGGATTGTATTTGAGTAAATGAGTCGATTCAATCAACTGGTTTTCCTTAGATAAAAAACTTTGAATCAATTTAACTGTATAATCTGGTGAACTGTAAAGTGCCTTGAGTTGACATGTGTTGGGAATTGGCGCTATAGAAATAAACTGAATTGAATTAAAGTAAAGGAGTGAAGTTCCCAGCTGGCATCTATGATGTGTACGGTGACGCCGAGGTAGTTATCATTATTTACAAATGTCCAGTGGTCCCCCGTCAGTTCTAAACACGTCGCCTCAACCAACTTCTCATCTTTCACAGCTTTCTCCGTGGCGTGCTGGTCATGTATTCTCCTCATTATAATTCACCTTGCAGGTAGTTTGTAAGATGAGTTGCCTGTGGCTGCCTGGAGAACAAGCTTGAGCCCATCGTCTTCAACCTTCTCTGATCAGCATTCTTAAAAATAAATTCTTCCTTAACCAAACCCAGCGGCTTTAGTAGCCATTCAAAATTTCTCCACTTGATGAGCCCTTGGCTGGTCCTTAGCTGGTCATCAACAGCATGGAAATATGGAAAAACATACAAGGAACTGTTTTATACAGAGATTCAATTTTGCTTGTTTTATTGTAAATTTATTAGACAGAGAATTTAAGCTTAATTTCAGTTTTGGAAATACTTGCCTGAATGGAAGCATCATGTCTGAGCTTCTTTCATTCTTTCTGTTTTCAGGCAGCAACACCTACACACAAGCCTGAATCGTTTTCTCCCCTGGATGTACATCTGCGCTGAGTCATCATAGCTATAGAACCAGATTCCAAACCAAATTTGAGAAAAGATTGACTGCAATATTTTTTTATTGCCCTATTTGAGTCTGCAGTTAATGCAGCACATTAGCGCTGATAAAGGCCCACCACTAGTAAAGACACAAAAATTATTGACTGAAAATAAACAACAAAAAATGTGCTCATACGGTTTAACATTTAGTTTTGTTGATGAGATCGGTACAGCTGCTCAAAGTTTTTGAAGGTGCTGCTATAGGGGGGGGGAAATGATGGTGCCCTTATTTTCACCAAAGTGGAAGGAGGAGGAGAATATTGGCAAAGGGATCTTGACTACTTTCCAACTCCTCTAGAACCAGTTAATGAGGCTCTTATATGTGACTAACATTCAGTTTCTTCTGATTAAATGTTTGAATCACTGTTAATGTACCTAGGCCAGCCAGAGAGGGATAAGGCATTTTAAGGCCACATAACGAGGAGTCTTGGAATCCGACCAGGATTTCGAACAGAGCACTTGTCTCCTTTCTCTTCTCTGCTTCCATTTTTTGTCTTTTTCATTCCAATAAAGGCATCATTCAGACCAACAAAGGTACATCAACAATTTTTATAAAAGGAAAATAACCGGAAAGAGCTGCAGTCATCAATGGAGTCACCCCTTCTGATTAAAACAGTAATATCAGTTTAAATGATTCATATTTATTGCACGTTTTATTAGTACAATTAGAAACAATCAAAGCTAAAGCATGGGTGACAAAGTACAACGTAGTGGGAAAAAAGCCATTTTCTGGTTTTCTCCATTTTTAAAACAGAATTGAACAATCTAAGTATGGACAGAGATCACGGCCACACTATCAGATCTGAACAGCTAGCAGTGGCAGTTCTATCCCACCAGTACAGCACCCTTTATCCAAAATGCACCAATGACATCTTATTTAAAAGACTGATAACAGTCTCCACCAATCAGAAATCCAGAAAGGCGTCTCATTGTTGAAAATTTGCAATATCATTTGCCTAATTCTGTTCTTTGAACGTTGCCCTTTGCATTATTTTAACTCAATAAAGTGCTACTTAAAGTTAAAAAAGCAAGAAAAAACAATAATGGTTTAACAGCACAAATCCATATAGAGAAGCAGTAGTTTTATTCCAACTCTACAATTAGAATTTCATATTCAATTGCCTAGAAACATAACATTTTCTAGGCATACCGTCAAAAGAAAAATCTGTTTATTGACTAAATTTAGCCTCATTCATTTTCTAATATCAGTCTCATTTTTCATTGCTCCTCCTGTTTTCTCTCCTCATTCTTTTGTCTCTCCCATCATTATTTGCATCCTTTTTCCAAAGCGTCTTGTCATAACATGGGACAGAAAGACTCAGAATTCAAGGTGGGACAGTCAGCAGGAAAATCTACAACATTTATTGAAACAAAAACATAAATGGACAGAAAAGAAGCTTGGAGTTGGGGATCTGCTGCGACTGCATGAGGGGGCGGGGCACCGCCCAATCACTGACACTCTGGTTTGACAGTTTATTATTCTTCTAATTTCCTGCATTTCTTCATCATACCTTCTCTTAAGTTCCTCCTCTTCTCTCCTCATCTCTTCTTCCTTCTCCTCCAGGATTTACTCTATTTTTTCAGAATGGCAGTTTCAGCCTCCTGCAGCATCTCGTTGGTGTAGAAGCTGTTGTTATTTTCCTTCACCATCATGTCGATCTTCCTGATCAGCTCACTGACTTGTGTTCGATTTTTTTTATCATAGTTGTTAAATACGTGGTATCTTCCTCCACAGTCAGAGATCAGCTTCTTCAAGTAATCATTTCCTCCAATATAATCTTTGATTGTCTGCTCCTCATGTTCCAGTTTATCTCCATTTGTGAAAAGAATGATGGTGAATTTTTCTGCACCTTTCCCGAATCCTTTCTTTATTAACCTCAATGTCTCCTTCTCCTCTGCTGTGATTCTACCGATCTGTAAAACCAGCAGGAAGACATGTGGACCTGGAGCCAAAAGACTCATACATTTCAACATCTCATCATTAACTTCTTCATGGGACAAACTGTCATCAAACAGACCCGGAGTATCGACCAAAGCAACGTGACGGCCGTCCACCACACCCTGCTCTATCTGACAAAGCTTTGTGACTGATTTGGAGTCTGCCTTGGCTTTAAAGACTTTACGTCCCAGAATTGTGTTTCCAGAAGAGCTTTTTCCAGAACCGGTTTTACCAACTAGAACAATCCTCAGACACTCGGAGCTCTGATCCATTTCAGGACCTGTAATTAAAGATAAAATGTTGAGTTACTATAGAGCTGCACCAGAAATGTGAAAAATGATGCTTCCAAACAGAACCAGGTTTAGTGAAGGTTTAGGTTTAAAGTCATTGTCAAACCTGCATCATTTTCTCCATTCCCCTCCTCAGACACTGGAAGAAAAAGAAGAATTAAATTCAGTGTGAAAACAGTACATGAAGAATCAGAACCAATTATAGTTCGATTCTAGTTTTACTCAAATGGAAAAAATACAAAACTGAGAATGTCTGCAGACTCACACTTAAATACGAAAATGGCTTTAACAAAAACTGCCTGAAAACACACATCACAGTTTTTTTCACATTAAAATCAATAAGAAATTTTCCAGTTTCAGTTACTTTAAGATTTTACAACTCTTAAAATTATGTCTGCAAAATACTTTTAAAAAGTTTTTTTTGTTTTTGTTGTTTTAAATGGGCGTTTTGATAAACTAATATTACTGTATGCTTCAATAATTTGAGAAACTTAGATGATGATGTCACGGTTTTCTCTGATTCTAACTGGTTAATTCTCAACATTCTAGTCCAATGGAGGTAAAAAAGGAGCTGCAGCTCTTAAAAGGAGTCAATATATCAGAATTATGGAGCTCCAAAAGTTTTTCATCAAATATGTTAAACATTCTCCAAATAATCCATTATTATTATTAAAAGTTCCAAAAATACAATATATTGGTGATCTTTACAAAACAAAAATGGGAAAATAAGTTTGAATTAAAGTCAGAAATCGTTCATGTTTTAATGTCTGTAAATGTCTGACATTAAAACATGTCTGGTGCTTGAACCAGATGTTCTTTGCTCATGATTTTTTACACAATTATATATGATTATGATAAATAAAATCTGCTTTCATTAAGGTCACAGTTATAATCATTAACCCCGTATTTGCTGAATTAATTTAACTCTGTTCTTCTCTGAGTGTCTGCATCACTGCAGGTTGGATCAACAAACAACATTTAAAATAAAACTTCATCCTTTGCTTCAAACACATTATTTCTACAGACTGATCCAGAAACCAGGAATATTGGACTCAGTTCAGCCGTACTTACAGTCCGGACGAATGAGTTCATTGCTACCAGAGCGCTTCACTGGAGGATCTGTCAGTGAGGAGGAAGAATATGAGATATTATATAATATTTATAGGAACCATGTCACTGGTGAATTATTACAAAAGAATGCTCTTTATCAACAACAAATAGAAGTGATACACGCGAGAAAAAAAGAAATAAAAAAGGTTCAACGGTTAACATCTCTGCAGATGTTTCATGAAGATCTGGATCTAAGAACAGAAATTAGACCTTCAGTCCAAATGTATATAAATAAGCTTTAAAAGATCAGACCAGGATGTCTGTTTGATTTATTTATAGATAAAAGGTTAAAATCTGCTCTGAAGCTGCAGATGAACCCAGAGGAGAAGCATTGATTATTATTCTGTGGGCCAGATCTATCAAAGGTTTGCGTGTATTAAAATGTGAGCTATTTCACTGCGCACGCTAAAAAATGTACAA